GATTGATCCGGCCTAAGCATTGAAAAGCAGTTAGTACCTACTAATCATATTTCTAAGTAATTCAGACCAGAGTTTATAATGTTCATATTCTCGGTTCTCGGCCCTGGTAGGGTAAAATCCGCAGGCGATTGCAAAAAGTCGAAATATCTTTGGAAATATGAGAGTTGTTAAAAGCTGAGGTGGTGCATCATGAAGCACTAACGAAGCATTGCCCATTCATCTACAACTGGAACGTTGGTGCTTTCCATTTCCATGTTCCGGCTGGGGGTGAAGTAAGCAGGCGATTTCTGAAAAACGGAATATCTCTGAAAATATAGGGGTTGCTTATTCAAGGATTGAAGCACTGACCAATTATCTGTAACTGAAGGTTGGTGTTTATCTTGTTCTGCTGGGTGTGAAGTGAGCAGGCGATTTCTAAAAACTGAAATATCTCTGAAAATATAAGAGTTGCTAATTTGCGGATCGAAATACATTGAAGCACTAACGAAGCACTAACCATCATCTATCTACAACTAAACGTTGATGCTTCCAATGTTCCTGCTATGTGTGAGCTAAGCAGCCGATTTCTGAAAACCAGAATATGATAAAAATTCAAGGGTTGCTAAATTGGGGATTGAAGCCCTTACGAAGCACTAAGAATTTAACTTTAACTGAACGTTGGTGCTTTCGTTGTTCCTGCTGGGTATGAAGTAATCAAGCAAGCTAAAATGCGAAATAACTCTGAAAATTTAATGGTTGCTAATTTGGGGATTGAAGCAAACTGAAGCACTAATCATCTATCTACAACTAAACGTTGGTGCTTCCAATCTTCCTGCTATGTGTGAACTAAGCAGGCGATTTCAAAAAAAAAAACGAAATATCTCCGAAAATACAAGGGTTTATAGTTTGGGGATTGAAGCACATTGAAGCACTAACGAAGCGCTAAACGATTACGTAAAATTTAACTTCTCTGTCCCAAGTGTGCCTGCCTACGTCACAGAGCCCATTTCGATATGGATTCAGTCAATGACAAGATACTCCACAAACCTAACTTATTATGAAGTCACTAATTTTGGAGAAGATTCTGGTGCGAATCCGGATGAAAATAGGACCTGTAAGCAATGAAACATTCGAACCAAATGTTAATGGTACAACTCGACAAGTATAGAGTCAGAGCAGAGCCTGATAAACACTCCATTCTAAAACAGGATACCTTACTATCCATCTAATTCCATTGATTTCCTATCTGTGTATTTTAGAAATAAAATTCTACCATCGGGAAATGAGAAATATAGGTATGTCTCGTCAACGTCAAATAAGTTGAAATCAGTTGACGAAGTAACAGAATTCCTGTATACAGTTAAAAAGCAGCTATAATAACACCATGATAATGGAATCAACCGAATACAAGACAGAATCGAACTTATCTTTGGTACTAATGGAGAACTTCGGAAAGAACTGGAATGATTTAGGTCAATAGAAGAGGTGCTAATGATTTTGTGAAAAAAAGTGGCTGATATCTTTGCGCAAGAATAAATTATTGCACGAACCAACCTAGCAGAACCAGAACATCGCATCAACCCAGAAAGTGCCAAATAGGGTTGCCAGGCGTCCTGGATTTCGCAGGATGTCCTGGATTTAGGTTCTTGTGTTCTGTGTCCTGCCGGAGTTGTCCGCAGGACACCAAATGTCCTGCATTTCATTATAATATCCTTACTCTTAGATTATAAAAAAAAAATAATTTTATTTCGGCTGAGCTATTTTATAATTTAACGTGAAAAGCGCGAAAATGCACCCGCGCGAATATTCACCACAAATTCACCAATAGGAACGCAGCGTACGCGTATGCGGCATGGCGTGCATCATTTTGCGGCATGCGGCAATCATTTTACCAATCATAGAAGAATAGAAGCGCAAAGCGCGCGATCAAGATCTTGCAGCTCAAACTCTTGGGGGTGGCGCGCATTATTTTGATAATGCCTCCTGTAACAACTTGTTTAGTGTTTATTCAAAATAATTTTGATATTCTTGGTAAGTCTGTAGGTCCATGATTATCAGTAAAGCCATGCGCCATGCCATAATATAGGTATGCAGTTGGGTCGGACAAAGGCTTGTTCAATAGCCTTCAATGTTCTAGGCCCCTTTTCGATAGTCTACATTGGAAGAGCTGCGTAAGCATAATACATTTTTTGGAATTTCGACAGATGCTTCAAATGACGGTAGTGACAAACTTTTTCCGATACTACTTAGATATTACGTACCGACTGAAGGCATCAAACTATGTCTTCTGGACTTTTTTGAGGCTCTCGATGAATCCGCCAATGCATTATTATTAAACGTATTTTTGGGTAGGTATTACAAATATTATTTAAGGAAAATAAAGAAGTCCTGATTTTTTCATTACTGTCCTGCATTTTCTCAACACATGTCCTGCAAATTCAATTTTCAAACCTGGCAACCCTAGTGCCAAATGTCACCACCACGACGACGAAGACTTTTATCGCCAAGAGACAACATTCTCCAAGAAATGCTGAATCTATCGGTTACCACCGCATCAATGCAGTTGATTGGAGGAGAAATAAAGCTTGCCGTCGATCTCATGTTTGGGTGAACACCGGCCGATGAATTTGTATTTCCAGTTTATGTCGTTGATCTATAGACTCGCCAGGAGCAGACAACATCTGAACAGTGACAGAGAAGATGACATTAATCCAGTTATTTTGAAAGAGTGAATTTCAAATGATCTACTTAAGATTAATGAATGGAGGGATGCCCATAGTCTTTGCTTAAACATATCTAAGACTCGCATCTTCCGGCCCTGGCCCAACCTATTGACTATATTAGTTAGGTTAGGAAAAATCGGGCGCGAAATTTAAAATGGGTTCCTAAACACATTTCAACAAATTTGACAGCAATGTATTTCTTATGGGGGATTCAAAAGAGTGATTTTCAGACGGGAATATCTTGGGTTCTGGGCATTTCTTAGTATTGGAACCTATTGTACATCAAACTTTGAACATATTTCTCTATAATTCATGCTCTAATTGTTTTTTTAGACCTATGAATTAAAAATACAAATGATTTTAATTAAAAGTGTCTGTTTTCGGTGGACGTACGTCGGGTCGAAAACCAGCTGAGAGAAAGTGAGGTCGTGTGTTGTGTTATGATTGTTGGTGAATTGTTTATTTATTTATTTATCACTAGTTCAGTCATTTATTTTTCAATTTTTTTGGATTATTGAAGTACATTTACTAACCAAGTATGTAGGTAAACTTTTATTTTATTATAATTAGGTACTCATATATACTTATGGATCAAGCAACGACATACGTATTTTATACAAATATCGGCTTCTTAAATTGGTAATATTTTTATTTTAACAATGTTGATTCAACTTTCAAACACTCTCTCAGTCACAAACGAACCGAACAAACTCTCTCAGTTAATTACCAAATTAGAAAAACTATTTATACAACTCATTTCCGTAACAAACGTTCTATCACGTCTACAGACGCTTTTAAAATTGAGTCCCCATAAGACATCAATGTATTAATTTTTGAACTAGGAACCCGCGCCAATTTGCGATTCTAACCTAACTAATATGATGAATTGCTAACAAGCCGGTTGCTAAGTTTTAAGGCATTCATTGGTAATCCTATGTTTGAAGATGTGCCATGTATTAAAAGTTGAAAGTAGGGTTTTTTCTGGATGTTACGCTATAAGGGTTGTATCCAATGAGCTTCGCATTTCTATGGCAAAGGAAAGGTTGCTTATCACGCTCTAGTAGAATCTCACTTACACTACGGAATAGTCTTCTCGGGGATTTCCAGCTAATACCTTTTTAACTCCGTCTTTACTCTACAAAAAAAAAACGCTCAGCAGATATTTATGTAATGTGGGAGTAAGGAGTGTAAGGACCCACTGCCAACCTCTATTCTTAAGCCGATTACAATTATTTTATTATGTATGTGATGGTGAATTTCAGTGGAAAATAACTTGGAGATGAATATTCCTTTCTGCTTTTATTATACCATTTCTGATTTGTGTTAGTTTTAATATTGCCTCACTTGCCACACTATGTTTTTTTTTAGCTTTGTTTACAAGAAAATGTTCTTACACAGCAATAAAGGAAATTTAGCTCTATTGCACCGAATTAAGTAGGTCGTTAAATTGATCTGACTTTGGCATATTCAAATAAAGATTCAGATTAGTTACCCGAGAGTAAAAGTAACAGCCCTTTGATGATGCGCCTTTGAAAAAGTTAGATGAAAGATATTCAAGTTCAAGTTGGAACGCAGTTAAAAGAGTTAAAAGCATAATTCAAAACGCGTGTCAAGCTTGTATGTTGCATAACACGAGTTGTCTGAAGGAAAATTATGATGTTTTACATGAGTTATTACTGGCAAAGTAGATTATTGGAAATGAGCTCCTCTTACATACACTTAAAGCTTCAATAGCAGATTTTGGTTTGGGTTTGGGTTCAAAATGTTTTCGTCCAAAGTGTGACTTCTCTATTATGTGTCATCTCCATAATAAGAAAAACTATCAAAATTTCAACTAAGTCCTCTAATTACTATTAACTATTATAGTTGAGCCTCAAGCTCAAACTAGAAAATAAGACCTTTCAACGCAGCTAATGCCATCTATTGAACCATAGTTTGAAGTATTGAAGCGTTCCTTGCAAAGGCATGTTGTATTAAGCTGGTGAACTGGATTCTCAGTTGAAAGTCAGTAAATACAGATGGCGACATAAGTAGCGGATATTTACGGGATATTAAATTTTCCAAACAGAACCATCAGAAGCATCTAGTGACAATGTGAAAAAGCACATTTTTACAATCCAAAAGAATTCTACTATTATTTGAAACAGATTTCTTGATTGATTTTAGAAAGTTTTCAAATATTAGTAGGTAATGATTTTTTTCAACCCCCGGGCTTAAGGGATGATTTCACCATAGAGAGGTTTTATGATACACGTATCACTACAATGTTTACAATAGCGTAGGTAGTAGGAAATAGATTTTGATTTTTCTAAATGAAAATTTGAATATTTGTTTTGTTGTAGTTTAAAATTTTCTTAAAAATAAGTTGTTGTTTGTTTTAAAGTGATGTCAAGAAGTGACAAAAAAAAATAATAACCAAATTTGATTGCAAATTGTCAGTAAAATATACAAAGCTAAAAATCGCCAAATATATTTAAATATGGGTGAGTGATTTGAGTGATACGTAAATGGTTAACTAGAGCTTTTTGGTAAGTGCGTTTTCTTATTCCATAATTCACCATATCACATTATCAGAGATTTTACTTTAAAAAAAAATTCAATTTGAAAAAGTTTTAATTTTTACTACTGGAGGTCAATAAATTTACAGTAGGTATAATATCAATAAATCAGTTTGAAGTGCCTTCTCAGAAAAGTTAACAAAAGTTAATCAATGCGTCTTTGTCCAGTAAAATAAATTGTATGGGTACCCTGCCATCTGTAAAAGTAGAAATAAACTCAATAAAATTAAATCTGTAGGAGGTAGGTAGGCATTTTCATACCCCCAATTATTTATTTACACTCCGACTGGATCGAATCAATTTTGATGCTGTCCGCCTTATTTTTTCTTTCTCTTAAATTGCGGAATTTGATTAGGTATTTACACTTGCAATTTATATACGTACCTACAGTTTATTTTTTCCCAAGAGAGATTTTGACATTGACATTGAAAACTTTGAAACATAAACAATAACGCTTGACTCTGATTGTTCGCAAAATGAGGTGTTTCTGCAGGTTGACATCAGTTTTACAATAGCGACCAATAAGCGGCATTAGCGGCATTGTTTATGTTTCAAAGTTGACAATGCCAAAATCTATCTTGGGAAAAAATAAAGTGTAGGTACCTAATTAATTATATAGCAAGTAAGCAAGTTACAAGCTAAGGACATTTTTACATACCTATTCAAATAAGGATATTTCCACTGGTAATTATGCAAGATATTTCCCTGCAACAGTCTCGATTTTCCATTAAAAAAAAAAAAAAACATTATTTTCTTGCATAATCGTTATTATTAATATAAAAAAATCGTTATTATTGTATAAATAAATCAAAATCGATAAGGTACCTACGCATATTAAGCATAATAAATATGATGAAACAGTAGTTACCTATAATACCCAAATCCAGTACAAAACACAAAACTAATAAATAAAAATCGACTCGTACAGTATCGTTGATATCGTAAAATCGAAAGTGACAATGACCTAAAATTGTTCGCGGTTTTTATTTTGGCACGCATTGACAATAAATTCACTAATTTATATTTACGCTTGCTGATTCTACACTAATACTTAGTAGGTATATTTTATATCAGATTTGTAATGGATCGTTAGGTTTTGTGTTTGGTAGGTAATGTTACTATGTAGAGCATCGTCTTCGAAGTGTTTGGTTGGAAAATTGGGTACCTACACTGATTAAAAAGGAACTTTGGTTCAGAAGAAGCTAACCAATTTTAAAAAGAATTTACTTTAGACAAAGACGTAACTTATATTTTTGAAATTAATCACTTGCGACTTCACAAACGTGTTTTTTACCTAAACGGAGCATAATATTTCTGAAAAATAATTGTTTTACTTTTGTTTATTTCTATGCATGTTAAATTTGATTTCCAAGAGTCAGACGTAATTCGCAATAACGGTATTGATAATCAAGCATTTTATTTTTAATTGGAACAATATTAAGGACAAATGAAGTAAGGCAAACATAGGTGAAGCAAGTAGGTAACTACCCCTATCTGGTTGAGAAAGTCATTATCGACGTATCATTGGGTCTTAGAACAAATCTTCAGCGACAAGGAAATAATACATATAAGCACTAAGGCACTCATCGATGGGTGAGAACAAAATCAAAATAGTTTATTAAAAAAAAATGCCAAAATTCAAAATTGCTGTTGCAGTATTGGGTGAAGTCGAATTTGGATATTGAAGATTACAGAATAAATAAGACTTTTAACTCTAGAATAGTTGGAGCATTTTGAAGAAATAAGAATGTCTTGTGAGAATTTGTTGGTATACCTACAGCGTGGATAGTGTCGACACCAATCATATCCTGTACCCTGCAATTCATCAACATCATAATCTTCAACGTTTTATCATTCTATCCCTGGATATATGCTTCTTCAATTACACGCCATTTCAGACCTTGTCCAGTATGTTTTTGTAAATTGTTCCATCGAGCGCGTGCGGTCTGCCTGGGTTACGCTTTCCAGTTCTCGCAGTCTTCAGTCTGTAGCCTTTTTTTCAGTCAATCTCTCGTTCTCTGTCCTTGAGAACGTGTCAGGCCCAATGCCACTGTCACGGTGTCGACTCTTGTTTCTGATCAATTTGCTCCATATCTCACAGACTTTTCAGCATGGACTTCTTCATCATCTTTTGTCAGATGACTTGAAGTTTATTTATTATAGTTTTGCTATGTGACCATTTTTCCGAGGCATGGTAAGTGCTGAGATTACAATTTACTGAAAAGATGTTGGTTTTTTGATGTTGGAAAACAGTGAACCTGGAAATCGGTCTGTGATTATGGAATGCAGCCTAACATAACTGGATACGTCTACTGCCACTATTTTCCTAGAGTAGTCACCTTAAAATGGCAGCTTTGGTCTCCAAATTCATTTGGGTCTTCTCTTTTTGGCATTATTTTAGTTTTGCTAAAGCTTAGTTCATGAAGAGCTTCAGTAAATCAGATGGAAGACTCTCTGAGAAGCGAATAAGAAGAGAAGATTGCATTGATCTTCTTACAAGCAGGCGACCAGTCTATAATGGCATGCAAAACGAAACAAACGGAAGGCATAATATAGTTTATCCAACACATGACAGTTAAGACTGTTATTATTAATGTCATTTTAGACAAGTAAACTATCAAATAACACACTAGTGTGTTATAATCCATAACTCACTACTGGGTTATGGATTATAACTCACGTTCATATTTAAAGTAGTATTCTATTTATTTATTACTATTTTAAGTAGAATTCACATTAATATTAAAATTAAAGGAAAACGCTAACGGTTTATTCAAATTTAAACTAATTGTAAAATTCGTTGGTTCATTAGAACCAGACGCTCCCATATTGGTACAGGTGCTGATAGTGCTGGAAGACGCCGACACATTAGAACCTTGTATTTTTTCTGCAATTTGTATTTTGTTATGCACCGATTCTTCTATGTATCCTTCTGCTACCGTGGAGGACTTCCATCCTCCATGAAGCTTCAAAGTACCTAGTCATGTTAGGCCCTGCATTGGCCAAAAGAGTCGCTGAAGACCTTCTCAGGCAGTGACCGGTGTAGAGCGCTGGTTCCTCCAATTTCAAAAAACATTGCAATTCTTGAAGGTATCTTCGACAACGTATTTATTCCCACACACTGGCTGGTACACCTTCCATTTTTGTAAAAAACAAAAAAGCGGTTAGAACTAGTATTCTTTGGTCTCAAAGACATGTATTTTTTACACAAATTGATCGGGTTGACTGGAAATCCTTCTTCAAGTATGGTGAAACTTCTCGATTTCTTGGTTTTAGTGTCTGGCAAAACTACGTGAGAATATTTCCCTTTGTCTTGAATATTCTCTATTCTCAAATTGACCAATTCATCGCATCTACAAGCACCGCTAATCCCCATTATCAAAGCCACTTTCATCAACAAGTACTCATCGTCGGGAGCTTCGTTCAAAAACTTCTCTATTTCAGGTCGTTCTAATGTCTTGGACTTCTTTGGTTTATATCCCTGTGATTTGCTTTTCAGAAAGCTCGTTAGTTTGCCATATTTAGAAATGTCGTTTTTTTTTATAGAGGTGAATAGTCGAACGAAGCATCGAGTATTTGGTCCATAGCGACGATGGGGCTAATTTTTTTTGCAAATGTAAAAAATAAGCCAATAAAACATTTTCATCGATACCTTTTATCTTCCGTGAATTCATCCAAGACTCAAACATTTTGAACTCCTTGTCGTAAGCATCTCGGGACTTTTCTGGCAGAATCTGCATCGCTGCTTCTTCCGCTTCCGTAAGGATATCCTCAGGAACGTAATTTTCATCGGTTTCTTCCATTTTCTATACGTTTTTTTCGGTAATTTTTCAAAAAAGCTTCTTTTTTCTGCAGGGAAAACTGACAAGTGTCAAAATTTCTTTAAACATTTGCTAACAATGTATCATGCCCGTAGCAACCAAACAAATAACCTACTTTAACCCACATACTTTGACAAAATGTAAAAAAGTCACTGTCAAGTCATTTTGGCATTTATAAGGTACTGAGATGCAAGTTGCTTTGATTTGAACACAAAGCTTATTAATTATTATCTTATAAAAAAACGATTTCATCCACTTGTTGGATAAAACATTGTATGCCACTCGTGTGTTATGTTTCCTAAGTCACTTGAGAATTTATACCACTCGGCCTGACGGCCTCGTGGTATAAATCTTTCTCGCGTGACTTATTTTCAACATAACACACTAGTACCATAAATAACTATTATTTCCTACTGAACTATTATATAATACCTTGGTTACAATAATCATAAACAGGGTCTTGACTTCCAAGGGAGGATTTCATAACTCCCGCTTTTACCTTGAATAGGTGAAACTTTGAAAAAATAGAAATTTTGGTTTATGGTTTATTCCTTTATAAAAATGGACAAAATACAGTAAATTCAGTAGGAAATAAAATTATCTATATACCACGGGAATTATCAGGTGTTAATACCCTTAATACATAAATACCTATTATGATAAGAAACGACATCCAGACATGCAGCCAGACATTCAAGGCCGTTTCCAATAAACAACAAACAAACACCAATAAGAACATGTGCCAAAACTAATCCAGATCATGGGCGACTTCTATGTCAAATTAGATCTATAGTACAAATTGGGCAACTCTATCAATACCTCGAACAACCAAAAAATGAGGACCTATGCTGTTTCTTCAAGAAAAAACCCATCGGAAAATGGATCGATATCACAGACAGAAACGGCTATATATAAAAGCAGACATATCTTTGAGGATGTCTCAGCTATTAACAAAGATTCCCTCCTGAATATAGAGTTCTGAGACGGGCCAAGTTAGAACAAAAAAAGGTGTTTGGACACAAGACAAGGGTGAAGCTTTACTCGAGAGTCAAAGCTCAATGGAAAAACACATGGAAGAAGAATCAGAAGTAGATGACATGAACAACATCAATGATAAATTGAACGAACAACTTTCGGTAGCAGGAAAGA